CGGTCGCCGCCGCCCCCCCCCCGCCCCAATTGCCCGCCACCCTGGCAGCCGCGGGGCCTGCTGGGAAATGGAGTCCCGCCAGGGGCCGCCTGGCAGGGGCTCCCTCAGGCCTGCGCTACGGCCCCTTCGGCTGACGGGCACCGGTGGAGAATAGCCCGGGATGTGGCCTTTCAAAGCAGCTAGCTGCCTTGCTAACTGAACTATAGCGTGGAGTAAACGCTGGAAGGTGCTATGCTTTTCCTCTGGGTGTTCAGGGAGACGTTTCGGGGCTGGCACTGGTCATTTGTGGTTCCTGGTGGGCAGATTGGAAATGCTGCTCGCTGTGAGAAAGAAAGTAAACCAGAGAGAGCCCAAATGCTGAGAGGTTTCATCCAAACGTGATTAGTGGTCACAAATCATCAGCTCCTCTTAACGTGTGGCACTGGGGGCAGGGGAAACGGACAGGGGACACAGGCTGTTTTTAAGTAATTCTTGTCACAGATGTGGAAGTGACACAGGTTTAAGATGACTGCGTGCCACCCAGACTGAATTAATTTATGGCTATTTCCAGTCTATTAATAACAATAGTCTAAAAATCCCGTTAGCATCATTTCCTTCCTAGCAATACAGGACTAAAAAAGGGACCTTCCAGGCCACGGAGTTTGATCTCCTGCCATCACAGGCAAACCCTCACCTAACCACATTGCATCCAGCGCTGGTTTTGAGCCCATGAGGAATCTCACCCCACTCCGCCAGTCAGAAAGCCTGTGTCAACCTCCCCTTTACTGGTGGTTAAGAACTTTTAATTTACGCCTTGAAAAATACATGAAGAGTTTATATCTATTTTTTCCTGTAGTAATATTGTTTAGTTTAATAGTTGACTTCTCTGTTTCTCTGGTATTTGCTTGCTTATATAGACTCAGCTGTCTGAATGACCATAGCCTTTTTAGACTTTCTCTGTAATAAGCTCTACATTTTCTGACCTCGTTCCCTTTTCCTCTTTGTGTACATTTGCCTTGCAGGAGCAGACATTTGGAGCTGCACCCTGGGGTGCAGTGTGGTCTCAGCAGTACCTTCTACCTTCCCTGTCTGCTCTCACTAGCCCCTAGCTCCACGCTATGCTGACGGAGGTCTTTTATCACACCTGTATGGCGCTGATGATTTTAGACACCCTAGGATTGGTAAGTACCTCAGGGTGTTTTCCACAGTCCCTGGCAGTTACTGTACACCCTGAAAGAGGCAAAATCCCTGTTACTGGTCCAGGTCGCACCTTTCCAACACTATCCTCTACTCTCAGAAAACTGTCTTTCCTCAGTTAAGGTATTTTCCACTCCAGTCCACATTCTTTCTAGTTTGCTTGAATGGAATTTTGCCACTTACCTTGCTCCACAACGTCAACAGCTTAATACCTGTCGTCCTGCTCTCCCTTCCCTACTTAGGCATTGCACAGAGAGATGAGGGACAGTTCCCAGCAAGGTACTCCAGTCCGCCCATGGAGTCCGGCGGTGAAGCTCCTCTCTTCGATTCCTGCCTTGGCCAGGAAGGTCATCCAAAAGCCATCCTGTGCCTTCTTCACAGCCCCCTTCTGGCCTGCCAGGGTTTTCTGCCTGGCAGAGCATTGCCATGTTGCTCTGAAGTTCTGTGTAAAGCCTAGATGAAAGGCCAAAGATAGCATTGGTGTAAAGCAGGTGTGAAGGGAAGGAAGACAGAAAACCTGTGGCAAGAATGCAGCAGAGTGACTTGTACCAACCTGGCATTCATTCCTAAGGCAATGGACTTGAAGTGCATGTTTAAGTACTAGGTCAGAGCACAAGAGCCAGTCAGCCTTGATTTATATTCCATGCAGTTAGCTGGGTACACTCTTATAAGTTAAAAAACAGGGTCTGTAGATATGCAAAAAGTTTTGTAAGAAAGAGCTCTGGGTTTCAGGATCAACGCACGGGTTAAGAGCTCTGCAGGTGCGCAGTGCTGAATCAGCAACGCAGCTCCCTTGCTGCAAG